AGGGTTGTCTTGTCTTGCACTGTGAGGCTGTATTACTGAATTAAGAAACCATGTTCTCAAACTCTTTTTCTAAATCGGAAAAAGCAGCCAAGGCAATGAAGAACGCTTCACCATCACCACCCGTAATTAACAATCTAAAAGGTCATCTGTTGCTAAGTGTTGTTCACGGGACACTTCTGGTAATTCAGCGCCAACTGCTTGACATCAGTATGCAAAATGACTGAAAATGAATTATGATCACAGAGATCCAAGCTCCAATTTATCCTAAACCATGGAAGTACACTGGGTGATTCTGAGCGAGTCATTCTCTCAGCCAAATGGACTTCACAGGGTTGTTTTGGACATACAGCTGCGAAGAGGATTATTATACATGCTGCCTTGAGCATAGGACATAAATCTAACCACTACATTTACTTAAAAAAAAAACAACCTGCCAAAATGGGTATGTACTTCCTTTTCCTTCACTTACCTCAGCCTGTTTTTCGGAAGCATAGAACAACATTTGGTGGGATTTTTAAAAAATACATGGAAAACTCTTTTTACTTTATTTTTACTCTCTAAATGCTAATAAAGAAGAGTAGCACCCACCTTGGCCCTCTGGATTATGGTTAATGAACTGACGGCTTTCTGAAATAAAACACTACCGATTCCACCAGTCCAACCTCCAAAGCGCCAACTCCAATTTTCCCCCTCTTCCTCACGCTCGCTCTCTCCATTGCCCGCCCGCTCCGCCCCTAGGAGGAGGAACGAGAACGTCCACTCACCTTCTCGCCCCCTTCTTGCAAGCCACTGGCTGGAATTGACTGAGTGACAGCTCAGCCTCAGCCAGCCAGCGCTTCCCCTTGAGTTTCGTCACGTGTGCTCGCGGGTTTGCGCGAAGGCGTCCTGACTTTGGCCACTCCTGTCACGTGTCCTTCCTGCTCCGCACGGCGGATTCGGCCAATCCGAAGCGGCCTCCTCCCACCCCCGACGCTGTTGGTCAGGCGGCTTCCTCCGCTAACCGGTAGGTCGGCTTAGGTGGGACTGTGGTGGCGGGGGGCGGGAAGGGGGAGATTGGGATTGTGCGGCGTTGTTGTCTTTTATTCCTGAGCGACGGCTGAGGCGTTGATTCTCGTGAGCCCGGCCCTCGAGCCTCTGTCGGCGAGGCGAGAGCTGGTGTCGACTGAGCCTTGTTTTGCTGTAAACGAGGCAGAAGATGCTCTTGTACGCAGTAAGCGAGTAGCAGGCTCGGCCTCTCGAAAGTCTGTCGCCAGCTCTTGGGCCAGAGTCGTCTTAGAAGCAGCTTTGGAATCGTCCTCATAAATCCTGCCTAAACCTCCCGGAATCAAGTTAAACCTGTCAACAAGCACCCGCTCAACATCCTCGCACTCCACCCTTTGATTGTCATCTTGAGGTTGGAGATGTCTTGACCTAAAATAGTCCTCTCTAATAGTAGCTGAAGGACTTTCTATATACCTGATCTCTACCCATTTATATTTATGGTGCCAGGCAGTCTTGCAGATAATCTTATGTTTTTGGGTCAGATGATGATTTGGTCTTAGTTTTATTTTTAAATGAAGCTAACAGCAATCTTGGTAGTCTGTATAGGAGCACTAGAGAATTTGTGATCTTTCAGATGTTGTTGGACTACAACCCCAGTCATCCCCAAATGGTAACCTGGTCTCATGGGAGTTGGAGGCTAACAACATCTGGAGGCCCAGGTAATGTTCTGAAAGGAGCTCCAGAACAGTGAACAGACTGTAGAATAAACTTTTTTTTTCTTAAAAAATCCAAAGTCACATAATGATGGTGGCTAAAAAATGTCACACTGATGTTGCAGGAATCAGTGCATCCAAATCAGATTAACTTTCATGGGGGAAAAAAAATCACAGAGAACTGGTACCATCTGTACCACCAACATATAATCTGGAATAAAACTCTCATGGTTATGCTTTTTTTTAAAAGAAATTGCATTTATTTATATCATCAATGTTGTACTGATCTTATAATGCCTATGGGTTTTCTGATTTAGTGATTGTACTGTAATTTTAAATGTACCATGGATATTTTAATTTCCTTTTATAATGTGATCCACCAAAGTTATCAGATTGCAGCAAGGTAGAAATGCAGAAAATAAATAATTGCAACTTAACAAGCTATATTTCTGTTAAATAACATGTTCATAAAAAGCATTTCAATGAAGTGTTTCATGTTTATTGTAGAAATTGTATATAAATAGTTTATTATATGTTTTTACTAATTAGTTTGTGGAATATTTGAATCTTTGATCAAAGAAGAAAGGCAACTATGTCTCATACACGTAAACCCCCTCTTGTGACGGGCATTTCTCCTAATGAAGGCATTGCATGGACTAAGGTCACAATTCGAGGAGAAAACCTGGGAATGGGACCAACAGATCTGATAGGTAAGTTTTTACTTTTGCGCAGATTCATTTTGTGTACCGTTGTGCCCTTCTCATTATCATTGATGCCTTAGTCACCTTGTGTTTGGATTATTGCAATGTGTCCACATGGAGCTGGCTTTGAAGACCACTTGGAAGCTACTGCTGGTGCAGAATACAGCGGTGTCAGTAGGCATGGGCATGTCTCAGTGTCCCATGAGACACTTCTTTGTGAAGTACACCAGTGGGCTTCCAAGTGCAATACAAGGTGCTGGTTGTCATCTATAAAGCCATTCATGACAACCCTGGATGAAGGCCTAGATATTTGCAGAACCATCTTTCTCCAACTATTTCTGCTCATCTTATAAGATTGGACAGTGTTGGCATAATCTGGGTCCCATCAATAAAACAATATCAACTTATGCTTTCTCTGTCATTGTACCTGCCTTTGGAGCAGCATCCCTGCCTCTGATCCATATCCCTGATCCTGCTGACCTTTAGGAAATCCTTAAATACCTGGTTCTTTCCACAGGCAGTGGCCTAGGATGATGCATGAACCCATTGAACATTGTGTATGTCTGTCTTTCTCCCTGGCATAGCAGCTTTTATTATTGTGATATTGATTTTTCATTATTTATTTTTTTAACCTTCTGTAAACCACTCAGAGTTGCCAGGCAAGAGGGCAGCCTTAGAAGTTGAACTAATAAATAAGTAAAGGTAGTGGAATTCATTCCACACAGCTTCATCAGGAGCACCAATTAGTGCCCAGTTTTGATAATTCTGTGTTATGAATTTGAAGAAGTGATGTAACTGATGGCAACTAAGATAACTGTAGAGGATAAATAAACAGCCATTGAAATACAGGTAGTCCTCAGTTTACAATGGCAGTTGGGACCCGAATTGCCATTGCTTAGCAATGTGGTTGTAAAGTGCAATGTCACATGACTGCACTGCTTAGTGATGGCAGTTTCAGCAGTCCCAGTTGCCATCATTAAGCGAGGACCACATGGGTTGTTAAGCAACCTCACATGACCGCAGCTTCCAACTTCCTACTGGCTTCCCCATTGACTTTGCTTATGAGAAGCCGGCAGGGAAGGTAACAAATCATGATCACATGACTGCAGGACGCTGTGATGGTCAGAAATCCAGGCTGGTTGCTTGTGCCCAGATCACAATCATACGACTGGGGGACACTGCAATGGCCGGAACTCTGAGGACAAATCGTAACTACCCCTCATTCAGTGCCATCGTAAGTTTGAACTGTCACTGAACAAGTGGTCGTTAAATGAGGACCACCTACATCTGTCCCCTCAACAGTAAGTTAGCCTCAGTGCTAACAAGTTTTAAGCATCATTTAAAAACTTACCTTTTTTTATATTCACCTTCTCAAGACATTTACTACTAAGGGGGAGAGTTATCTTATGTATTTTATGAGTATTGTAAATTGTTCTAGTATTGTTTGTGATGAGATTAAATATATGTGTGTGTATGTTTACATATATAGATATATATGCACACACAGTAAATAAATGAATATTTGGACTTGCAAGGAGTGAAAATACTGATCGTGAGTTTTAAGTGTTCCAGTGAAACAAAAGTCAGTATACTTTTTTTTCCTTAGGTAACAAAGGGATCTCAAAACAAGTTCCTTGTTTCATTTTTTTTCTTTTTTGTCATACAGCTGCAAAAGTAGATGGGGGTAGAAGTTCATGCTAAATGCTACATACTGTCCAACGCAGAGAAAGCTTAAGGAAAAAATGTTCCCTTTTTTTTCAAATTTCCCAGATCAAACAGGGCAGCAGTTAAGCTTGTTTTTGCTGCCTGATTTGCTTCTACAAACAGAATGGAGCCCAGCAGAGAAGCAAAGCAGGATTTACTTTAACAGTGTAGCCCGTGAATGACATAATTGCAAAAATACATTTCTCAGGCTTTTTTAAAGTGTACATGCACAGTACACACTTTTTGTGCGACAACCTGCCTGAAAAGAAAGCAGCCTAAGCACACTTTTGTATTTATTAACCTGCCTGTATTAGTAGGACAGCATAGAGGAGTAATAGCATTACACTGCAATTCGTGAACTCTAACTTCCCCATAACAATTTAGAACTGAACTTATTCACCAGATGCAATTTATAAGTGTCCAAAATGCTCTACACGGGCACTTAACTCATATTGTCAAACTTTCCAGTATCTTAGAATAATAAATGAATTTGTGCAACATCTCCTCCCACCCCGAATAAAACTGATGGCTTATACAGGCAAAGTGAAAATTCTGACAAAGCATGCTCTGAGCTTTGCTCCCATTTCATCTTTGCAATTGACATGTGGGTTTGCCTAAGCGATGTGGGAGCAAGTTTTAACAGTGCATTTGCTTTATTGACACAAACCTGAGCAGCTGATTTGTGTACGACTACACCCCCCACCAGCTGCTCATGAACCCCAGAGCATTGTGATCCACAGTTTAAGAACTCCTGTCTCAACTAATTCTTCACCCCTTCTCCAATCCTCTTGTTCCAACCACTGACACAAAGATGGAACCTATTCTTTCTGATTTATTTACCCGTTCTATATCCAACATTAGGTTTCTGATAGTGTCCTGGCCTGGAAGCTGTTAATCCCAAAACAAAGTCTCTATGAGTTCTGATTAGTAAGATTTATTAAGAAGGGGGTTAAAGTAACAACATAAAAAATCCAGCTTTTTACTTTACTTTTAACTGAGGAACCTTTTATATATAGGAAATTAGGGTGGGAAAGTTCTGCTTCTTGGGTACTTTCTGTGTGAAGGGAGGGAGGAGTTTTATCTTTTTTGTGAAGGAGGAACAGTCTGACCTGTTGATTGTTTTGGAACTAGACTTTGCACTGATCCAAGCACCAGCTATTACACCCAAGTCTCTGTGGCTAGAAAAATTAAAAGAAGAAAAAGCCTGTTATAGGAGTCCAAAACAGTCAAAACAATTTGGAACAAAAATGAGCTTAAGCTGAAACACCGGAATACAGGGTGTTTCCATGCTTAAATTGTCTAAACTGTCTACGTTACATATACCTGATATCTACAAAAGTAGAGAAGATTTTTTAAAAGCTCATTATATAAAACATGAAAATGAAAAATTAAACTACTATGGTATACAGTGGTTAAGGTGTTGGCATTTTTGTTTTACGTCCACCCTCAGCTGTGGAAGGTCACTGGGTCACTTTAGTCCAATCGCTCTCTCTCAGCCCAACCTACCTCGCAGGATTATTATGGGAGAGATAGGAAGTAGGAGCACTATGTATGCGCCTTTCAACTCTTGAATGAAAAGGCAGGATATAAATCTAATTAATAATTAATCATTCAAACAATTACCTAATAAATAAATAATGAGCTTTACCAAAGAGCTCCAGATTATGAAAAGATGCCTGGAGTAACAGTGGTGGAAAAACAACAGTGGACAGCTGAGCCCTGGACAAGCTCATCTTTGACCCTTCTCAGTGGCAATACTGAGAGAGAGCCAGTTGGGTGTAGTGGTTAGGTTGCTAGCCTAGAAACCAGGAGACTCTGACCTGTCTTAGGCATGAAAGCCAGCTGGGTAACTTTGGGCCAGTCACTATCTCTGCTTAACCCACCTCACAGGGCTGTTGTTGTGGGAAAAATAGGCAGGAGTATTGCATATGTTCTCTGCCTTGAGTTATGTATAAAAAAGTTGGGATAAAAATCTAATAATACAAGTGGTGAAGTTTCTGCTTCTCTAATTGTGTCACTGGTCAGTTTGAGCTGTCTATAAATCCTGTAAAAGGTTAATCTGTAATGTTAAATATTGAGAAGACAATGTTAATATCACTTAGCATGTTTATTGATTTAAGGTTGATGGTGAAGAAGAGAGTGTAGTAGATGGTTATGTTTTATTGAGTCCAAGAATAGATCAAGATGAATACTATGTTGGAGACATTAAGAGGAAATTAATCCTAGGGAGGAAGGCAATGACAAGTTTTAGACAAGCAGATGATAAAGTAGAAAAATGATTATGCTGAAGGATGTAGAAGATGACTCTGGATTTAAGATGGGACAGATGAAATCAAGAGAAAGCTAGGATAAAACATTCAATCCTTTCCTAAAACCATGCCAAATTAGATTAATATAATGTATCACAAAATGCAGGGATCCCATTATTCCCAGGAAGTTTGATTCACAGTTTGAGAATAATGTTAGGAGCGTGTCACTGGCACTCTGACTTTTTAAGTGTTTATATTATGTCTTTACTTTCAGGCAGTGGGTAAAGCTGAGTATATCTAGTGAATATGTCTTAAACATTCATTTAAACTGTATGTTAAAAGTGTACCTGTGAATGTAATTAATATGAGACCTACTTTTAAATAAAAGTATTTCAGATATATAGGAGATAATGACATTTTAAAAATATTCATAACAATTTTTATTTCTCTGTTTTATCTGAATCTTCACTAACCAAGGCTTGACAATCTGTGGACACAATTGCCTTCTCACTGCTGAATGGATGTCTGCCAGCAAAATTGTCTGTCGAGTAGGTCAAGCTAAGAATGACAAAGGGGACATTATCGTAACTACAAAGTCAGGAGGGAAAGGGACTTCGACTGTTTCTTTTAAACTTCTGAAACCTGAAAAGATAGGTGTGTATATATCCATACTTGTTTATAATTTTTCTAACACTTAATATGTTGTTTAGGCTTTTAAAAATGAACTGGTGATGGGAGCTGGATGTGTGGTTTATTCAATAAACTTTTGTGGTATAAGTCTTTGCTGATCTGTTGTTTGAAACCCTCTGATCTGTTGTTTGAAGCCCTCTGAGAGAATATATTAGAATTGAACCCAAGATTGTGTAAAGTACTACTTTACCACACTGTTTGAAGCCTTCTCTGAGAAAAGGCTTACATTCAGTATAAAGTTTTTGTTGGTTTTTGATCATGGTTTAATTAAGATATTCCCAGGCTAGCATCGTAATCCCCTGGTTTATGAACAGCAATCAGTTCTGGTAAATTCAGATAAGAGTTCCAAATAATAATGATTTGGTGACACAACATAATTTTATGTTTGGTCCTATATACTATTTGTTATCCTGTCTTCACTATTAGTTTGTATTTGTAATATTAAACCGAGTGGAATTAAGGAAAATATGCAGATTTTTTTTACCAGTGAGTTAACTTTTTTTCCTTTTACATTTGCATTATAGCTGCAAGAAAAACAAAATAAAAAATAGTGCAATGCATGTGAAAGAACTATTTTTCAAATAAAATCCACTGTTAATTGCAGTTTTGGAGTGTATTATTAGGCTAGAAGATGACAATAACAACAGTTGGGAAGTTAGAATCCAGGTTCATTTTATCCTACTTTTCCAAAGCAATTAACTAGATATGTATTTATACTTGACTAGCTTCTTTGATTCATTTCAGCAATTCAGAACCTCATGAGACTGGACAGAGTTTATTGTTATAAGAATGTGTGCTTGTTTTATCTAGGTATCTTGGATCAGTCTGCTGTCTGGGTTGATGAAATCAACTACTATGACATGCGCACTGACAGGAACAAAGGGATGCCCCCTTTGTCTTTACGTCCTGCTAATCCTCTTGGTATTGAGATAAACAAGTGAGTACTGAATATTTATTCATATTCCTAGCAGTTTTGCCTGCATGAATTCTATACGTTTTAGAGTTTGTGATTTGAGGAAGGTAATATAGATAGGGAATTTGATTTAGTCATGAAAAGAATTTCTTCAGTTTATCCATTTGATAAAGTGTGAAGGTGACAAACATATTTGGAAATATATATTCAGGTATATTTGTCTGACATGTACATGCAAATCTAATTCAAGTCCAGTTGAGAATGAATGACCTTAGGCTGTGATTTTTTGGCAGTATGTTCCTGACGCTAATCAGATTTTGGTTTCATGTCCTGGTTTATAAAGTGTTGACCATCTTAACTTTTCCAGGTTTTCCAAGTTTGGATGTGATTGAAATCTATGGTTTAAGAAACCATGATACCAGCATTGAATCTGAGTATATTGGGATAGAGTTGAAGAAGGGCATTGGATTTTTAGTTTAATTCCAGGTCACTTTATTGGCCAAAGATCATAACATCTGAATTAGACTTCAGTATCAGAACTTGGTTTGTTCTACATAACCTGCAGAATGGTCCCAAAATAAGAATGATAAGATACTAAAACATAAATATTAGAGTATAGGTAGGAGTTTAGCCATAGTTTACCAATTCTGTGAGTGATAACTTTGCCTAATAGCTAATACTCTGCTTCTTGCATTGTATTTTTAGTAGAATGTATTATATAACAAAATATATTAGATAATTTATATTTTAGCTTTAATATGATATATTTAGATCAGTATGCATTTCTAGGCTTGAAACATACTTCTTACCATTACAGTGGGGCAAAAAAGTATTTAGTCAGCCACCAATTGTGCAAGTTCTCCCACTTAAAAAGATGAGAGAGGCCTGTAATTTTCATCATAGGTATACCTCAACTATGAG